TGAGGGGTTTGGTGACCCAGCCTGGCATTTGAGAGGTCTGGTGACCCAGCCTGGCATGTGAAGGGTATGGGGACCCAACCTGGCGTGGGAAGGGTTTGTGACCCAGTTGGACAATGGGCTTGAGGGGTCTGCATGCTCCAGACCCAGCCCTTGCCCTACAGTTGGCCTAGTCGGCAGGATTATGGGCAGATAAAAGAGCTCGACAGACCCAGAATGTGACTTTTTTGGAGATTTATATAATGATCTTAGTGTAATGTGGAGTAGGGATTTTGATTTCATGGGAATGGCGCTCGGGAGGAGCGGACGAGCGAGTGGTCACTCCGGCCGTGGGTGGCTGGCGGTCCTGCGCCCGGCGGGGAACACGACGAGGGTCTGGCCTGTGCGGGGGCCTCCCTCAGCCGGGGACCCTCTGGGCGCCGTGCGCGCGCGGACTCAGCGGCAAGAGGCCTCGAGCTGGGTCCACCGACAGCCCGGGCTGTGCGTCCCTGGAGGGTGTGACGGGGCTGCGGCTGAGTAGCCTGAGAAGTGCTGTCTAGTAACGACTACATCCACAGCTCGCAGGCGCAGGTTAAAATTTCATTCGACATCCTTAGAGCATTTGGAAACACTTTAGAAGAGAATCTCAAGGGGTTCGTGGATGGTGCCAGTCGGTCAGACTCTCCGGAGTTGCCTCAAAACGAGGACTTCATTTTCCTCCGTTACGGAACTAAATACCAAATATGCGTAATCAGTTATAAAAGAAGCTGCTGTTCTTTAGTACTATGTGCTACGTGCTTTTCAAGTATTATCTCTTTTTTCTGAAACGCCTGCGAGGTGGTAATATTTTGCACCATTTTACAGTTAAAACTGAGACATCTTAAATAACTTTCAAGGAAAAAGTAGTAGGAGGCTTAGGAAGGATTAAAATTTAAGTCTAGCTTCAAAGCACAAGCTGTTTCCACGGCCCCAGGCTGATCCGAGCAAGACACTGTGATGATCAGAGTGGTGTACGCACTTGCACACATGCAGACAAGCAGGGTTTCTGGCTTCTAGTGGGAGGGCAGGCATATTTGTAACTGTAATACACAGGACAATGTAAATATCATGAATTACAATTAAAGTATTGTGGCATCTAATATTTGTTGATTTTAAATTGGATCTTATTTCTCAATTAACAGTGGGATCTTTTTTTTTTTTTTTTTCATCCAAGAGAGTCTGGGCTTATAAGCTAAGCTAAAAGCAAACTTCTAGAATTGTGTGTATGTTGGTAGGAGGTGGGATATTGTCATTCCCAAGAGCTGAAGGTTGTGGAGACCTGGGGGAGTATATTTCAGCTCAAGGTAGGAAGAGCCAATCATGCAATAAACTTTTATTATTCAGAATAAATGAATGTGCCAGGGACTAAGCTGTGGCCCGGGGATACAGGGTTGTGTAAGACACCATCTCTGTGCTCTAGGATCTTACTGTTTGCTTGAAGGACAGCTATATTAGTAGGACGTCTGTAATCAAAAGAGAAGGTCTTTCTAACAGCCTCGGTTGCCATATCCAGGGCCTGCTTTAGTAGTAGAGTAGATGGGCTTCTGTGCAAAAATATCATTTCTGCCTGTCACCTGTCACTCCAGAACTACAGCTCATCCTTTACAGTCTGAAAACTTTTTTAAACTGCGGGAAGTCCCTTTTGTGAAAATAGTCTTTGACACTATTATATTTCTATGTATTATATTTCTGTATCAGTCAGTAGTCAGTAGCCCCTGTAACAACAGGGAGTCACTGGCAAGCAGAATGTGTTCTGCAGAGTCCCAGCCTCAGTGTCATGAAGCCATACAGGATGTGAGAAACAGTGGCTTAACAGTTGACTGAAGTTTTGTTAGCAGTGCCTCAACTATCTGTTAGGACTTGCTGGGGATTACTTGAAAACCAGGGCTGAGAGTGGAAAATGAAGCTTCTGGGGAACAGGAAGAGCGAACAGGGTGACAGGATGATATTGAGAAGGGTATGGGAACTAAACCAGTCATCTTCCAAATTAGGAAGCTGCCAAGGCTTAATCACCACTATCACAACACAGTTACCCCTCAACTTGATAGAGCAACATAAAGAGCCCCTCCATAATACAGTTTTGGACCTTGTTGGGAAAATGGAATAATTTAATCAGGCCCCCTCACCTGCCCGTCCAGTTGGGGGTGACACAGTGCATTCTTTGTAAGCAAATTGTATGTGGGGGTGGGTGGAATTAGTGTACCTGCACAGCACCGCAACCTTGGTTAGCATCCGCCTGGGGCGTCCGCTATGTGTGGCTGTGCTCTCCAACTTACAACCTGTTTGCTGGTTACCTAGCTCATAGACCTGCATGTGAGGGGTTTGGTGACCCAGCCTGGCATTTGAGAGGTCTGGTGACCCAGCCTGGCATGTGAAGGGTATGGGGACCCAACCTGGCGTGGGAAGGGTTTGTGACCCAGTTGGACAATGGGCTTGAGGGGTCTGCATGCTCCAGACCCAGCCCTTGCCCTACAGTTGGCCTAGTCGGCAGGATTATGGGCAGATAAAAGAGCTCGACAGACCCAGAATGTGACTTTTTTGGAGATTTATATAATGATCTTAGTGTAATGTGGAGTAGGGATTTTGATTTCATTTAATCCTCCATGGAAAAGCAGTATTGTTTACTGCTTTTTACTCTGTAAGAGAGGCCAAACTTTACCTCTGCTCATCTGAGTTCTTGATTGGGACAACCCCTGTAACAAAAGACAGGTTAGCAAGAGAAAAACGAACACATTCATAATGCATCCAGTACACATCGTGAGGAAGAAACCTCAATGAAAAGTAACTTGGAGTACTGGCTTAGAACTCCACTTACACAGGTTCTTCAACAAAGAACAATAAACTTGTAGAGAAATGACAGCATAAAGGAAAGCAGTTTTAGGCTTCCAAGGGAGGCACCCTGTGGGAAGGTAAGTGTATGGGATGACACTAATGGAGTGAGGTTTGTTTGCAGATGCATCTGGTGCCATCTCTGGGTAAGTTGTCTTCAGTAAAGGAGAATTTGCAGGATGGGGGAGGATAGATCATTTCCTCTGTTTGCTGCTGTGCTCAATTGTCTCAGCTCAAAAATAATTTCTGTATCAAAAAGGCATATTTTGGGGTGACATTCTGGTTTTCGTGAACACTGGATAGGGAGTCAGAAATTGATTTTTTTTTTCGCTTTTTTCATGATGCTTGATTTTCTGCTCTCTCACTCAGTCAAAAATTGCTTATTTTGGTGACTCTGGAATGGTGAAGGAATGCTGAAAGAAATGATGCAGTGTTTATAGACACAATAGGCTTCATGTAGTCATATCTTAGCAAATGTTATGAGCAATAAAATAACGTTAAGTCTTTATACACTTCTGTAATTTGAAAACATTTATTTAAATTATCTTTAATATTTCATCAGTGTTTTAATTATACAGCTCTCATGATACCCAGAAACCATGTTAACAGCTGCTGTACCTGAGTACATTCCATAATTAAGAGAGAATTCTCTTGTGGCTTAAATATGTAATTAGTATCCCTCTGTTTTTCTTTCCTTTTAAACGGTGCTTTTTATGTTTTATATTTCAGATATTAATAGGAGACCATATTACCACATGTCTTTCTCCATCAGTGTACGATATGATTTGTAAGCTTGGGTTTGAAGTCAGAGAAAACTGTGATATCAATAGCATTGTAACTCAGAATGGTGAAGTATGCTGGAAGACAATCACAGACTGTGTGAGCTATACAGAATCAGGTTTGTATTGTCTGTGTACCCAAACTTCAGTCAGTACAGTTTCATTTAAAATGTCTTGACCTGTTAAATCCCCCTTCTTTTTGTGAGAGGATGTTATAATACAGGCCTAAATCAAAGAAGAAAAGGAATCAGTGTGAAAAGAGAGGGGATGAGGCCAGAAAAGCATAGAAAGTTAATGGAAAGCTGGCCTAAGAAAACCACAAGTAATCAACGCAAGTAATCAGGAGGAGTCAAGGAGGGGCTGGTGGGCCATTGATGTAGATCTCTGGGCCTTAAGATGATTCTCTGTAGAAGTCTTGTGAATTAAGGGCATGATATAACCTGTGGTAGATTATGCAGTCCTTTTTTTTTTTTCCTTTTTGTCTTTTTTACTGACCGGTAACGGGATCGCAACCCTCGGTGTTGCGCCCGCACCGCACTCAGCCAGTGAGCAGGAACCGGTCTCCACATGGGATCCGAACCCTCAGCAGGAGCACCGCCGCGCTCCCAAGCGGCGCACTCTCCAGTGCGCCACCGGGCCAGCCCTATACAGTCATTTTGAATGTCTCCCAGGTACTCTTGTAAATTTTTTGGAGCACAGATGTGGGTTGGGAAATTAAATAGTAGTTATATAAATGACAAATGCATATACTCTGGCCCAGCAATTCCATTTGCAGGAATTTATAAGACAGGTACACTTACAGGTGTGAAAGTGTGTTTATGCAAGGTTACTTCTTGCAGGATTGCTTGTAATAGCTGAATAAATAAGTACATAATTCAGAAATAGCCAAACGTCAAGCAGTAGGGGATTGGCTCAGTAATTTATAATAAATGCATACGATGGAGTATGTTTAGTGGTAAAGAAGGGTGAAGAGGCTCATCGGATATAGAAGTCTCTCTGAGCTAAGTGACAAAAATAGGAAAAATGTATATTTGCATTTGCTTGTATATGTATAAATATTTGTAAATAAACCCAGGAAGTTAATAAGAGTAGTTGCTATAGGAAGGAGAATTAGGGGGCAGGAATGAAGCTTTTTTTTTTTTTGTATTTTTTTATCATGTACTATGTGGAGGTTCAATCCCAAACTTATCAAAAAATAAAAACAGCATAATGTTTATATTATAAATACATTGTAAAATACTTCATTGTCATTAGAAATCTCACACTCTAATGATGTTAAGTAAAAAACGTCATTGCAATATTATATACATATAGTGTGAGCCTGATTTCTTATATTCCTATGTATAGCTAAAGACACTGAAGAAAATATTCTTCTCCTGTTTGAGCCTCTCTGTATTTTCCAAACTCTGTACTGATAGTATATTTTTATTTTATAATTAGATGTGTTATGTAATTTATTTCCAGCAATATATACGTGTATTTATCATAGGTCCAATCATAAGCTGATTGTTGATCTTGTGGAAGTTTTATAATTAAAGCACTTTTTCTTTGATGATTTGTACATTTATTATCATGTGATATGTACTGCTTTTTCACTAAACCTTGTTTTCTGACCCGTGAAGACCAGGGTCTGGACTACTGGGGAAGCGTGAGGATGCTGGGCCCTGTGTGTGAGGCTGTCCATTTACATCTCTTATCTCTGACCAAGGGGCAGTTTGAAATTCGATATGCACCGTGGCTCCAGTGGACGAGTTTTCCAGAGGTCTGGCTTTTAAACCACTTTAGAAATAAAAGACTTTTCAAGTACCACTCGGGGGCCCTTATTGCTTGCTAATTTTAAAGGAGTCTCCTTCATCTGCAGGCCCTCCAACTTTGAAGAAGTCTTGAGGTTTGCTAGAGAAACCTGATCTATTGTGCAAGGTCTCCAAAGCCTGAGCTGAAAAACATGCCTCTCTGAACACAGGAAGTTTTTGGATTCATTATCATAGGATTAGGCATTGGGGAGGTAGCATTTGGCACACAGGTGCTCATCTTGGGACAGAAGAAAAAATGACCACTCCAGATTAAAAGAGAGACCTTATGAAGAGATAATAAAGTGTTCTTGAGACAGTGGGACCAGGAGACTAGATATGGGCATATTTGGTTTGTTAACGTGAATTGCAGGGAGGATGGGTATTTTGGGCCCAACCCAAATCTTGTTTTTTTTTTTTTTGTCCTTTTTGAGACCGGCCGCACCGCGCTCAGCCAGTGAGCACTGTGAGCGCACCGGTCATCCCTATATAGGATCCAAACCCGCGGCGGGAGCGCTGCTGCGCTCCCAGTGCCGCACTCTCCCGAGTGCGCCACGGGCTCGGCCCCTGTTTTGGTTTTTTGTAATATTAGTTCCTCTCCATTTCATCTGGCACATTAAATGACCACAATAAAGCAGTAACTATAACTAGTCTAATTCTAAGATAATTCATGTTTCCTAATTAAGAGTAAAAGGATCTATTGCTTCCCCCTTCGTAATAAGCTCTTTTAAGTGCCAGGGTAAGCTGCCTCATGGGAAATAAAATACTTGACTTTTCAATTCAGATTTATTGCTTTCAGTAAACATTAAAATAAAGAACTTTCAAAGAACTCCTTAGATATTAGAATATTTTTCTTGATTCTTTAGACATTGTAATATTTATATAGAAAATGTTTACCAAAAAAATATTAAAAGACAGCAGTTGAAATCTTTAGAAGTTTGCATTTCAATTAACAGTATTGTTAATTTGAGAAATATTTTTTGTTGAGTGTAACTTCTAACGTGTCTTATTCTGAACAGTTATTTTCTGAAATATTTGACTCCTTGGAAAGTCAGCAGTCTCCTGCTATTTCTCTTAGCTTGATGAAACTGACATCCTGTCTGGAACGAGCCCTGGGGGACGTGAGTGAGAATACTTCCCTTGTTGGCCCTTTGAATTATCTTACTGAAAGTTAAGCCATTTTACAGTTGCCCTCACTTTTTTGATTTTAATTATTGTTTCCTGTAAGTTATAATCCTTTGGTACACATTTTTAATATTTTTTTGATTGATTGTGAAATCAAAACACTGGCATCTTAAGTACTTTTCTTCCCTCATTTGTGCAAACAGTTGTTTCATGGATAATGTTTTTCCTTAACATTAACCGCCTCATTATAATGCAATTGTTATACAGTTTTTGTTTGAATTTTAGGTATTTTTACTGATTGGGAAGGAATGCCCTTTTCTTTTGAGAGATCTACTTGCATCTGAGGAGCTTGCTCAGGTCTTTGGGCAGTCTGTGGTGAGCTTGCTTATGTAAAACTCATACAGTAAGTGCAACACAAAACAGTGACATTAGCTATAGTTTTGTCCTTCCGAAACTGACGTTGCTTTAGAGAAGTAATTATGCCAGTGGTTTAAACATATTCTCCTTCTTCACCTTCCCTTTTAAAAGTGCCCCTCTTATAACACACAAATCTTTATGCAACTGAGTGAGGCAGGGTCAAGATGAAGGAGAGACCCAGGACAGCCTTGCACAGAGGGCTGTGCCTGCGGAGCCAGTGAGCAGCTGGAGTTGGTCTTTTTGGATAACAAATCTGTCTTCAGTGAAGCCTCCCCACTCTTTTCTGTGGATCCTTATCCCTTGCCTGCTTAAAGATTATTTTCTTTCGTGGAGAGCATGGGATGAAGATAAAGTACATACCTCTTGTTGTTACACTGAATTTTGTTTCTTTGATCTGTTCTTTGATCTGTTATCTGCCTGTGTGCTGTTAGCCTTTTACCTACCTACAGCCATTTTTAGCTGCTGGATGATTTTACTTGGTCACTGGCATATATATTTCTGATTGGCCAGATAGTATGAACAGAATATTGAGAAATTAATGGAAAAGCAAATACTACCTGAGGTTGCATTGAAGAACTCATTGTTAAACGTTCTTATGTTGAGTTGAAGCCCCTCTTTGTAATTTCCACTTGCTGGTTTTGGTTCTACCCTCTGAGGGAAATCCAGAATGCATTATTTCTTCTTCTCAGCAGCAGTCTTTCACACAAATGAAAACAATTTTTGTTTCTTTCCTGAGTCTTCTGGAGGCTCAACTGTTCTTTCTCATATGACATGATTTTAAGTTATTTTAGTCTCTGAACATCTTCCATCTTTTCTGAAATTCTTCCAGAGTGTTGTGCTCCAAACCCAGAAGCAGTCTCTGGGAATGGAATGATTATTGCACTCCACTAAGTAGGGCCCCTGTTGTGGGGGTGTTCTTCCCTTTATAGATGCAGGATGGAAGTAGGTAAGTGTTGAGCTTCGGGTCAGATAGCTAGGAAGTGGAGTATAGGTCTGGAGCCTCGCCAGTCTGGTTTTTGCCCTTCCATCCTGTCTTTGTTGTCACACCGGTACACACTGCCTGATACTGAGTTCTGTCCGTCGTTTCTGTTTTACTTTAGATATGAGGCACATCTGATGCGTGGTGTTAGAGCAGGATAGCCTGGGTGAGCTGTCATCCCCCGTTGTTAACTTCATAGCCTTTAAACCTTGGTTTCACCTTTCCGTGCTTATGTTTTTCTCATCTGCATAGTGGGAATAATAGGAGTGCCTCCCTCATAGATTGTCCTGAGGATGAATATGTTGATGAGTACATGCAAAAATGCCTAGCATGTGTTAACCAGTCAATGTTGGTTTTGTTATTACTGCTCGTACTACATGCCAGCCCAAACTGTTGGCTCTGTCAGTTCTAAAGAAGAAACCAAACATTAGCTCAGTTCATTAAACAATTTGGCAATTACTTAACTGTTCAATAATCTGCTGTTCTTAACCGGATCAGATGAACATACTGAAAGTCTTCGTTGGCTCTCCGTGTGGACTCAACCTACGCAACACCTTATGGCATGGCTTCGCATCACCTCAAGAAATTCCTCCAAAGTAAGTTGCTAATGAAGTAATATTTTTTTTCATCTACTTAGGAGTTTGTTTTATCTTGAATTTCATGAGTGGGAAAGATGTATTTTGTGAAAGGGGAGAGAGTGTTGAGACAAGGTTTTGAAGATGAAATTGTTATTAAGAGCAGAGTAAGTGGAGGCCATCAGGGTCCCGGGGAAGGAGTGATGCATGCACAGGTACTGGGGGGTGGAATACCCCAAGGTCTCAGCTTGAGAGCTTCTGAGGTGTTTTTGTTTCTCCCCTCCATTGCACAGCTTACTTCCTACATCTAGGGGAGTTTTCTGCAACTTAATGGCTCTTTGCTTTTTCAATCAACTTTTTTTTGGAAGTAAAGCTTTTTATATGTATGACTGAGTTTATTTTTCTGACAGATCTCTATGATGTTTTCCCCTAGATATTGTTCAATGATGGTATTGTTGCTAGCAGGATTAGGTCAATTACTAAAGAGTTACCTTCAGCAAACTAAATCTACACTGGCACGTCGATCTTTCGTAACTCTCACAAACTTGGAGGATTTGATCTTTTTTCCTGGCAAGTACAACCTTTCACATTTTCCCCTTAATATATCTTTGTGAAGATGTTTGTAAAGTCAGTAAGTAGCATCAAGACTTGAACTCTTGAGGTGGAATGAAGTAGTTATTCTCCAGTAACATAATGGCTTAGAAAGTTGCTAGAAGAACCTCTTAAACTTTACCACACAAAACCCTACCTCTTCCCACCACACCTCTGGGCTGTGTGATTCCTCAGATGTGTTGGCATACAAACATGGCCTAGGGCTGTTTCATATCGTGCATTCTTCTCCTTTGACGTCTTGTAGCGTTGTGCTCATAACCTAAAAGAGCCTGTAGTTTAAATGTCTCCCTATATCTTTTGAAAATGTATTTCACATCTCCTGGTCATTGTGCTCAGCTGGTCAACCCTACTCAGAGTCACTACCTAACTCCCTACTCAGAGTCACTACCGTCTGAGTCACTAGAGGGAGGCAGTTGTCATGTCTCCTTTTCCCTGGCATGTGAGGTTGCTGCAGTCCTGGCCCTGGGCCTGGGTGATCGTCCTCTCTGACGGTCTGCACTGCTGCGGGGGTTGCGGCTCTTCCACTGAAGGGCTCAACATGTTGGCATCACTCCCCCGATGTGTTCCCATCTTTCAGTTGTTGAACGTGATTGTCCTGGCCCTGGGCCTGGGTGATCGTCCTCTCTGACGGTCTGCACTGCTGCGGGGGTTGCGGCTCTTCCACTGAAGAGCTCAACATGTTGGCATCACTCCCCCGATGTGTTCCCATCTTTCAGTTGTTGAACGTGATTGTGTTTAAAAATACTTGCTGTTTTGCAGATGTTAATAATGAGGTACTTTCAGCATTAGAAGAACTGATGATGAAATCCACTTTCATACTAAAAATCATGTTACCATATTGGGAAATCGCACTGATCAAGTTCAAGTCGCGCAGGTGACTAGTGGGTGGTGTTATGGAGCACTTCCGTGGCTGGAGGCCCATCCTTAATGTGCTTTACCTTCCATGTTCTTTGCTCTTGGAGTGGAAGTAAATAGACTCAAAAGTAGACCTGAACATGAAATACCTTCATATAGTCACTTAAGAGTCAGCTTGTAATTGTGTTTTAAACATTGTGTGTTATTCATCCTTTTGGTAAATTTGATAGAATTATTTTTCAGAATCCACTTTTCAATATTTTTTTGAGTTCTTACCATGAGTGAAACATTGTGTCCAGTGTTAGAGAGTTATGAAACAAAGACAGGCAAATGTTGGCATTATGTTCTCTCTGTGTTCCATCACGAGCACACCATACGCACACCATATACATTGTAGAGATCAGGAGGTCCGACGAGTTGGTCTTTAATTCCTCACACGTGACCTGATACAGTCACTTTATACTTTGAGAACCCACTAAAATCCTGGCGTTTGAGTATTTTTTAGAAGTGATGAAATAGGCAAATCTTTGATGACATTTTATTCTTCTGAAGCTACCAAAAGTGGCTCATAAAACAAAACATTGGAAAATGGTTTTAAAATTACTAGCCTAGTAAAATCTTGATTCTGTTTTATTTCATTTCTCATATTAGCAAGTAATATCACATCTCCTGGCTTTCAATACCACATTGGTCATATCTGGACTACAATATAGTTATTGTGGTGCTGGGGTCTGTATCTGTATATATATGTATTTATTTACTTATTGGCATATAGGTATTGTGATGCTGGTGTCAATATTTATTTATTTACTTATTTATTATTTATTTATTGGCAGCTGGCTTGTATGGGGATCTGAACCCTCAACCTTGGTTGTTGCAACACTGCGCTCTAACCAGCTGAGCTAGCCCAGTCAGCCTCCAATACATATTTCTGAAACATGGAGTTTTGCTTATTTTTTCTCCAATTTCACAGGTTTGCTGACTGTGCCATATTGTTACTGACACAGTTAGAGACTGGACTTAGGAGAGTTTTTGCCAGAGTTAACAAATGTCCAGAAAGACTCCTGACCGCTGAGGTACACATGCTTTTATTATTGATTGTGATTGTTTTTGTTGCTGTATTGACAGTTTTCTGTAGCTAAGTTTTTTTTAAATTAAAAGTTTTTTAAAATTTTATTTTATTTATCATTAAAATGAATATTTTAGCTAAGAACTTTCTTTGGAAGCCTTCATTGTCATTTTTTTGGCTTCCTATTATAACGATTTTATAGGATTTATATTTATTTTAGTTATGATTGTTCTTGGTAGTTCTATACTATTTCCAAGTTGTCTTTTGAACTTGATGTGATAAGATTAGTAAGCACTTCTTTTTTCTCTTTAACCGTATTAATGGTGCATCATTTTAACCGCATCATATAGTCATGGTCTACAGCATCAGGTGCCAGTGAACGGATATGTCACTGTTGACCTGTGTGCTCATGACTGTGCCACCATCATGCCTGGGGCAGCGTGACAGAGAGAGACCCAGGCAGACCTGGGGTTGGATCTGACCTTGGGGAAGTAATCAAAATCCTCAGAGCTTTAGTTTCTCCATCTTAAAAATGGGACAGTCATACCTTTCAAGGAAGTCGTAGGATTTAGAGATGATTTGTACACAATTCATAGTACAGTACCTCTTATACCATAGATCATGGAAACTTCTGTCTTCACAGTGTCTTGACTCCCCCTTCCGTGTGTGCACATGTGTGTGTGTATGCGTGCACACACACTCACACACACACTGTTGTTTCAGAGTTCTCTTGTGAGCCCCCAGTTGCCCTGTCTGAGTCAAGTGTCTCTCAACAGTTTTCAGCCTAGCTCCTCTGGCTCCCAGAGTCTCTGATTGCTGCCCCTTTGTAATAGCTGTGGTTAGATTTGGCTGCTGGTGACAGAGATCCCAAAATAACATGATTACAGTGACTTAAATAGGATAGAAATGGATCTCTGCCCCCATCACTGGGAGCAGCCCAGGCTGAGATGGCCGCACCACAGTCGTCAGAACTCTGAACTCTTCTTCCACCTGAGGAGGCCAGGCCGTCCTTGGCGGGTGACCGCTCCTCGTGGCTCCAGCTGTCTGTGTCACCTCTACCTGCTTTCCAGCCACAGGAGAAGGAAAGCAAGTGTGCGCCCCTCCCAGCCAAAGCAGAGCCACACCTGCTGCCAGGGAGGTGCGGGGTGGGGGGGTGGTGTGTGAGTCATGGGACAAACAGCAGCATCTGTTATTTCTTGCACTCATTCAGCTTCCTCTTTTCCCCCTTATATAAACTCTGCTCTCAACTCTGTCTTCTCTCTAAATTTTCTCCTAGGAAATCTCGCACAATCCCATGCCATAAGTTTTCACCTCTGTGGGAACCACAACAATTAGAGAATATTTTGAACCTGATGAAAATGAAAACCCACCATACCAGAAGTTTTTGGATGTGGCTAAAGCAGCAGTGAGAGGGCGGTTCACAGCATTACATGCCAGGGGTTCCCAGGGCACTGTCTCTAACCAACACTTCTTCCATCTCTGGAGTCAGGCTGTTTACACCTATTTGCTCAATATCTTCATATGAGTTTTCCCCAGCACCTCAAACTTACATTATTTCAAAACGGCATATTTTTTTCTCCCACTGGTTCTCTGATGTTCTGTTTTTGTTACTCTTACCACCTTAGTCTCTGCACCAAACTTTAGCACCATCCTGTGCTTTCCCTGCTCTTCACTCCTCTTCCACGCATGGCCAGGTCCCCCTGGTCAGTTCTGCCCCAACTTATCTTGTGCCCCTTTTCAAGCTGAGACCCTCACCTGATTCCTCCTCACATCTCACCTGAGCTCGTCTCCCAACTAGTGTTCATTGTTCTTCCTTCTCTAATTCATTCTCACGTGGCCACTAATTATTTTCTATTTAATATTCTTTTTTTATTTTCTCATCTGTGTAAACACCTTTTACGGTGCCCTGGAGCCTCCCAAATAAAGCCCACACTTTTTGCATGGCACGTGAGGACCTCAGTGTTCTGACCCTACCCTCTTCTTCAGTTTTATTTTTCATCCAATTCCTCCAGTGTAATTTAGGCCCCTCTTTAGTTCTACAACACACCTGCGTTGCCTATCACCCCCTTCTCCCGGTCACATGCTGCGGCCACGATAGTGACCTCCGAGATCCTTGTCTACTCAAGTGTGATGGCTGCTTTTCTTTGCATTCTGTTTTTATTTTATCTTGGAGGCAGTTCTGTTTTGCCTTATTTATATGCATTTTATTAGAAGTCTTTGTGCAGTTTTCAAGAGTGGGGCCTTCACGTTGCCTTCCCCCATGCCCGTGCTCCATGCCTGTGATGGGAACTCTGCTCAGTATGTTGCTGTGGGGTGAAGGGTCAGTCTTCTAGCAGAAAGAAGTAGAACCTGCTTATCAGACCTCTCACTTGAATGCACCTGTAATAGTTCGCTGCGTGGCAGCCTGCTTAGTCACTGCATGCCATATGATATAAATACATTTGGCTACTTGCTTGCCATTTGACTGTACAAATAAGTAACACAGATGTTTCTACAGAGAATGTAATTTATCAAAGAGTATCTTAAGTTTTAGCCCAGGCTTTTATCCAGAATAAACAGGATCAACTTATAAGGTAGTACATATGTGAAGATACTTTATAAAACTTGTCAAGTGCTAAGCAAATGTTAGCGTTACTTACCGAATACTTTTTATGTCATAAGGTCTCTTCAAGATCAGTGGAAAATCTGAATATGAGTAAGACTTTCTCACTTTTAAGAAGCTTTTCTATTAGGGAAGAGAGAGAAGACATATATACTAATTTCATAAAACAAAGTAGAAATTAAGGCATGTAGTTTATGGAGATAAATGAAAAATTCACCTCTTTGGAGAAAGTAGTGAGAATGTTTAGTAGACAATTGGACATTTAAAATAGAGCTCAGGAAAAATTTTAGGACCAGGTTTGAGAGCTGAAGACAGAAACTTTAGGGCCGACCCCGCGGCCCACTCGGGAGAGTGCGGCGCTGGGAGTGCAGCGACGCTCCTGCCGCGGGTTCGGATCCTATATGGGAATGGCTGGTGAGCTCACTGGCTGAGCGCGGTGCAGGCGACACCACACCAAGGGTTGCAATCCCCTTACCGGTCACGAAAAAAAGACAAAAAAAAAAGACAGAGACTTTAGAGCCACTGCATATTAAATAAATTTTGAAGAACATTTGATAATATTAAATTGGAAATAGGTTATTAAACAATAAATAAGGAAACATTTCTTTAAAACTAGCTTACACAAAGTACTGATTTCACGCTGTGTGTAAAATCTTACTGAATTCTGCCAGAAGCCTTTTGAGATAGGCATTATTCACATCCTGTTTTGCAGAGAAAACCTGAGTCTATGGAGTTAAATAAACTGCCCAGGGTTTGACTTCTGAAGGTGTTGAAGTTGGAATTAGACTTTGAGGCAGTCCAACCCCAGACCATGTGTCTGAAAACTATACTGATTATACCAAGAAGCAGTTAAAGCAAAGGATATTCACTGGAGAAAATATTAAATTACACACACTAGTGCACAAATATCAGTCATGAGGAGAAATATTCTATTTGTGTGAGTAGCTGTTTGTGAAGGTCTGAAATCCTAAGTTTAAGAAATAACTGAACTAAGATACTTTTAAGGGCAGCATTTTAACATGGCTTGATTGTCAGGTTCACTGTATTTTCATGTCTTCCATAGCACGTTTATTTTGTAAGTGACATTCTTCTCAAAGTGTTGCTAGATAAAGGTTTATTTTCATAAGAAGGTTTCAGATTTGTGGCCATGTACCAGAATCTTTTCCTACTTTGAATAATGTTCTCTGCTTATATGTCACTTTAATTATTTTGTTTCTTTTCTTTTCTGAAGTCAACAGCTCTTTATACCACCTTTGATGAAGTAAGTAGTTAAACTTATAAGGTAACTTGAAATAAATGTTGTCTTATCATAAAATACAAACTAAAACACAGAGTTAAAAATCAGCCTTGAATCACACACTTGCAGGAAAATGGTGCTAGTAGTATAAATAAACAAACAAACCAAAGCTTATAAAAGAATTATAGTTTCAGGTAAATTTTCAGACCCTATTACTAATTTAGTTTCTAAACTGTACAAAGCTTAAAGTTGGAAAGTGCAAAGAGATAATAACATTATTGGCTATAATTATTTAGAGGCTCTCATTTTAGATTTAGGGTTAACATGTCTTTTGCATATGAAGTATACCTTGACTGCTGTTCTGAGTGTACAGTGTACACTGATGCATTTAATCTGCATATCAGGGGCGTAATTCTAAAGATGAAAATCCAGAATTGTTAAAGTTAGAGTTGAAAATATCTGTTATCACCCATAGAGTAGGGAGACGTGTGTGTGTGTTAATCCCGGGTGGTCATCCTTGTGCACCTGAAGTGTGACCACATGGAGTCCCCTCCAGGAGGAGACCAAGAGGAAGTCTGCGTGTAGAGAGCTGGGCATTCGGATCCTGTGGCCTTTACGAGAACCATTAGATTCCTAAGTGAATGTGTAGTGGGTGAATTAAAAACCCTGATTACCTGTAGGGTGTGTTTTATTGGTAAATAATTTGCTATTGTTTTAATTCATGATTCATTTGATAATGTGAGGGTTAAGTCAGTGTAGTCAATCTGTGTGAGATTAGGTCTGTAGGACTGGGCTGACTGTTTGGGCTCCAGAATCAGTGATGAGTTACATGACTTGTGGAGTGACTCTGATGCACACACACACGCACACACACACACATGCACCTGTCAGTTGAAGGATATAGTACTTTTAGTGTAACATGTTATATTAGTTCCCAGCAAATTAAATAAAACAACAGTCTTCAAAACATAGTGACCACTTTTTCAGGAAAACTTTTCTTAGCCAGTATAATGACTTTAAGAATATATATATTCTTAATTGTATATGTGTACATGTGAGAGAGAGAGTCTGTGTATCTGTGTGTGCCTGTGTGTATTATATGTACGTGTGGTGGATGGGTGTGTGTGCATGTGAATTTAACAATTTATTACTCAATTTACTTATTTTTGATGTTTCAGATATTGGCAAAACACTTGAGTGATGGTAAAATCAATCAACTTCCTCTTTTTCTTGGAGAGCCTGCTATGGTAAAGTATTAAATATTTTCCAATCTAATATTCTCGTATTTATGGATGTGATTAGCACTTCTCTAAGATAAAATTAATTTTGGTTTCTGTTATGTTCAAGAAAAGTTCTTCTGAGCCATGTCTGTGATATCTCAACTTCATCCGTCTGTCCACAGACGTTTGCTAAGCTCTGACTACAGTTTGGGTATGATGCTTCATGCTGGCTATTTGAATGTTCTTTTCTGAGGTCTGATGACTTGATGATTTGGCTGCCCTGGTCTTCATCAGTATTTGAATTTGTTGATTATGTGTACTTGTGCTGTGGAAGGCTTTGTGATAATAACAGTTAAATGTAACTAATAGGATTGAGTGTTGGATGAAAAGAGAATTTTAATTGTTAGAACCATTTTCCATTTGTCAATTTTTTGTATTTTATGAAGATATGGCAACTACTATTTAAAGATACTGCAAGTTGGGCCAGCCTGTGTGCTCACACCGTGCTGAGGGTTGCGATCCCCTTACCAATCAAAAAAGAAAAGATACTCCAAGTTATGACTACTTTGAATTGTAAATAGATATTTTATATTTATTCATTTTAACTGAGGGTTAGCAGACCTAGATCTTTGTTTCTGCTCTGTGATATTAGTCAGATTCATTATGCTCTTGGGCATCCATTGCTGCCATCAGAAAAATAAGGTGACTGAACTAGTTTATCTAATCTTATTTTCCATCTTCACCCTCTGTGACTCTTTCATCCCCTGGGAGTTTGCCTGGGTCAGTGGTTTTCTGGTCTCTTTTCCCTGTAACCTAGGTGAGAGACCTTGGACTTGCATTGTTAAAGGAAGAAGCAACTGTCCATCAGACTTCAGAGGTGGAAGAGTGGTCCAAGAGAGGGCGTGAGAAAAGAGAGAGGAACAGGGGCTCAGGAATGCAGGGCTATGTTCACACCAGCAGGAGCAAACATTTCTCTTATTGCCTTGGAAAAGTTTGTTTCCAAATGTGCACAGCTCAGTGCCATTCCTGGGACAAGGCTGTGTCATCTTCTGCAGAGATGTTAGAAGGGTGCATTTTGCTTTGTCAAGTCAGACTTTGGGGTTGGGCAGATCTGGCTTTCCAGCCAAGTGTGTCACTTGCTGTGTGGCCTTGGCCAAGTTGCTCAGTCTTCCTGAGCCTCAGGTTCCGTATCTAACAGCTCAACGTAATGATAGTATTTACTTCATCAGATGTTTCTAGTATTGAATGGATGATTGTTGGAAAGTGCTTAGCATTGTGCCCTACCAGTCGTTTATTGTCATCACCACTAACCCAGGGCTAGTGAGTTTTGTTGGACACCAGCATAACCCAGGCAGCTCTGTCTGCCTTAGTAGTTACTCCTCAGAGCTTCTCAGGGTCTCATCAGTCCTGCCTAGTGGAGAGAACAAGGGTTCCCAGTGAGAGTCCCAGCTGGGGACTTCCCAGCTCTATGGTCTTGGTGCACTCAGTCTCTCTGAAGCTCACTTTTCTCATCTGTTCCATAAACATATCAGGCATGGCCCAGTGCTGGGCCTTCCCTCTTCCAGCAACACTAACAAAGCATTTTCTCTGTTTATTTTCTGAAAGGAATTTCTCTGGGATTTCCTGAACCATCAGGAGGGTCCCCGCCTAAGAGATCATTTAAGCCATGGGGAGATCAACTTACATGAATTTCCAAAAGAAGCAGCAAATCAGTTGCTTGCATTTTCCACTGTACTTTTACTAAGATTCATTGATGAAGATCTGCTATCAGTTTTTAAGGTAATGTACTGGGAAGAAAATGATGAATTAGAATTGCTGTCATTAAGCTATGAAAGAATATAGTTTATTTGCACATGTAATTAACTATTAATCATCTTTTATATTTATGAGTTCCAGTATCTTCCATCAGAACAGATAATTTTGAATGGATTACATGTATGCATGTATTCTCAATAACAAATCAATCAATGTTACTTAATCCAATCTAAAATAATTTAACTCGTTTCTTAAAGACACATTTACCTTTGTATGTAACAGCGAGAGGGTATTAAAAACCAAAGAACAAATTATAAAACAGGATTAACTGAATATTAGGAAATTTTTACAGGTGTCTGTTAAATTGATGGGTGGGATATTTATATCTATCAATAATAGTTCTTTTATTATTTTAAAATTAATAATTTAGGTTAGAACATTTGTTATTAATATTTTAATCTTTTTTCAGATTATACATGTAAAAATTACTTTAAAACTTGTTTAAAAGTTCAAACAAGATAGAAAAATTAGTGTAAGAAGTGAAAGCCCTCAGGTATCTCATCTTCCAGAAATAACTACTGTTACTAGTCACCGAACTCTGTGCCCACACGTTTCCCATGAACACACCAAGGGGGCTCCTGGGAAAACATGCTGTGCTCGGCGACCAGCACTGCTCGCTGACAGTGCGCGCCATCTTTGCTGTGCCTTATTCTCTTTATCAGCTATTTGACATTCCATTTTATCAGTGTGTCCTTATTTATCTGAGCAGTCTCCACCAGTGGGGAAAATCCCTAGCTGTGGTGCTGAAGTGAACATCTCTGTTCATTTGGGCACATTTGTAAAAGTGAAGTTCTGTGCGAAAGATCTCAGGGAGACCTTGCTTTTATTCTTGCTTCTTTGTTGGTGGTATTTTGCTGTCTTGTGTTTGCTACAGGTTCATGACTCTTTAATGAACTTCCTGTCGAATGCCTTTTGCTCCATTTTGTTCAGTTTTGTTTTTTCCAGTGGTTTATTGGCCTTACTTGCCATTGTCAGTGTACATAGACTTGTTGTCTGCCTTTAGGTTTTGATTGTTTTTCCTGTGGTTTCTGCCTTTGGAGTCATTCTTAAAAGACTCTTTGGCTTTCTAAAATTATAAATATATGCATATATTTTCCCGGATACTTTTATGGGTTTCTTTTTTTCTTTGGAATTTACATATTTTGATCCAGTTGGAATTTATTTCATCTTGGGTGTGAGGTGGAGAATCTAGCTTTACTTTTATTTATTTTTTTTAAACAAATTGCTAGCAAGTTGTTTGAACACCATTTAGAGAAACAACATCTTTATACTGTGTGTGCTGGGCTCTGGCCCTGGAAATCCTCCACTAAACTCTTTAGCCTTTGTTAAAGCTTCATGATGCAGTTTAATAACTGTAAGATTAGTTTCTCATTACTCTTTTTTCCTCAGAATTTTCCTGCCTGTTCTCTCGTTGTTGTGATTCCATGGGAACTTGTATAGTTAAAGTAAACACAAAACCCCAAAAACAAACAAAAAAGAATCAGCTCCTGATGGATTAACTTAGGGGTAACTGACGTTTTTTACAGTATTGGAAACCTTTCGGTGATGAGGGCGTCTCTATCTGCCACCTGCTTTTGTGCCTCTTGTGTCCGTGTCCTCAGCCGCCCATCCCAGCGGCACCTCCTTCCATGCAGGTGGCTGCTGAGGCCCAAAGCTCTTTTCACATTTCATATTCTACCCTCTATCTTCAACTGTGTTCTCCAAGTCTGTTATCCCTGTCACTGCCCTGCCACCCCCTGGGCCAGACCATCACAGTCTTTCCCCAGAATATTGCCGGCTCTCAGGGATCTCCTCCTTCCACCTGGGACCCCTGTGTCTCTTCTCAGCACAGCAACCAGAAGGACCCCTTCACTCACATTTCATCCCTCTGCTTAGAAGCCCTCCTGTGCTTTCGTGGTTTCGCATCTCAGAACAGAAGCCAAGTGCTGCGTGTGCATGCATGTCTCTGTCTGCGTGCTGGGGCACCCCCCATAAGCCCACACGCTCTGTCTGCACCGTGCTGCCCAGCACACTCCCTGGCACACACCAGGCTCTCAGATGTCTGAGTAGATGAAAGGTTAGCACATTTCCTCTGTGGTTAACTTCTAGCTCTTTTAGTTGTTTGCTTTGAGCTGTTGAGAATTGTAGACATTACTACTTATTAAATTTGTCAAATATCAACCCACTGACTTTTCTTTTTGTTTCTAATAGTTTTTAGTTGGCTTACTCAGATATTCCAGTTATATAGTTATATCAATTGTAAATAATGCTACTTTTACTTCTTTCAGTATTTATATGTCTAACAATTAAATGTTTATAATTATGTAATTCTCTTTTGGTTGTATTGATTTTTAGTATTTAAACTGTAATTATTTCTATTTTTTTAGGAGACTTTCTTAAAGTTTCCCATTCTTTGGAATCTTCTTTCTTATTCATTTCTCATTTTGTTACATTGTGGACAAAGGTGGACATGGCCTTTATAATTTATCACAGTTAACCGACTTCATTTAAAATCATTTTTTTGGCTATGACTGAGATCAAACCTATTTTAATGAAGAATTTTTCTTTGTTATAACTCAATAGAATTTTTTGAGAGAAGATGGGAAATCGATGCTCTAAATGACCTACAATTCAGTAGAAGAAAACTAAAAGCCTAATCAAATATTGTAGTAACTAATGTCTATTTTTTTCTAAACTAGGAAAAAACAGCAATAAAATTATTAATTAGTCTTGCAGAAGGATATAATTCTCGCTGTCATCCAGTTTCTCAGCTTAAAAAACAGGTATGCCAAATGCAGGGCATTTTGGGAAGAGGTATATGTGTGTCTTTGAAACCAGTCATCTTCTACAGAGATATTAGAAGGGTGTATTTTGCCTTGTCAAGTCAGACTTTGGGGTTGGGCAGATCTGTGTCACTTGCTGTGTGGCCTTGGCCAAGTTGCTCAGTCTTCGTGAGCCTCAGGTTCCATGTCTAACAGTTCAACGTAATGATAGTATTTACTTCATCGAATGTTTCTAGTATTAAATGGATGATTGTTGGAAAGTGTTTAGTGTTGTGCCCTACTAGGCATTTATAGTCATCACCATTAACCCAGGGCTAGTGACAGTGTTGCTTGTCAGTGGTGAGGATTGCCATCTTTTCTTTTACTGTGTAAGACCAACTTTTGTTAATGCATAAATTCAAACAAATAAAAAACTTGTAGGCATTTCTGCCAGGAACTCCCAATGTGGACATCAACTGAGGTGCTTTATTCTACGTGTGATAGGATATGAGGGCAGGTGCATGGGGACAGCAAAGGGACAGTCTCCCAGAATACGAGAATCCTGATAACCGCCAATTTGGGAAAAAGGAAGCTGTAAAGTCAGCATGTAATTGGGTAGGGAGAGATTTGGTGCCTTGAAGAGACTGAGGCTTAATTGGTGGTGTCTTTAGAAAAATAGTATCTGTTAGAAGAACGGGCTGTCAATAGTAGACATACAGAAAAAAGAGCCCCCTGTAGGCATTTCCATCCCAGTGCTGTTTAAGAGGAGGACTGAGCCTTGAGTACTGTTGTCAGGTGGGTCTGGTTTGGAGACAGATGCGTCGGCTGTGTTAGCCTGACACCATTAACTATTTGCATTACATGCTAACTTTACCTTCACTGATTCTCTGCTTTCCAAGAACAAGTCATTACAAAGGTAGATGTTTCAGAACTTGTCTGTGTTTAGAGAGACAGGGAGGGAGGGAGAGAGGAAAGGTTCCAGAAGGAAGAGAAGGTCCTCGACGGCAGGCTTTGTCCTTAGACCTGCACTGCTCAGTCTCCAGCCCCCCAAGCCTCCCTGTGCTCCTCAGCTGTCCTCTTCCATGTCCTCTGGTGACTCCCCCTCCTTTCCCCACAGTGGCTATTTCGAACCCTTACATTTTCTGTTCCCTCGTACTCTTACTGTCTTTTATTTACTTTTTATTTAGCGACAGTCTTGCATCCATGCTTTTTAGGGTCATTGCTCTAGTTATTACTGCTGAATAACAAATTACCCACTCTCAGTGATGTCAATGACTACCATTTCATTTGCTCATACTTTTGAGGCTCAGAAATTTGGGGAGAATCTGCTGAGGGATGTTTGTGTGACTTCAGCTGGGTGTCAGTGGGCTGCAGTCCCCTCTAGGCTCCGCTGGGCAGTGTCCCATCCGAGAAGGCTGGAAGCTGACCAGAGGCCTCATGGGCCCCGCAGCTGCAGCCCAGGGTGATGGCGACTTTCCCCAGAGCATGTGGCCCAGAGCACCAGGGCAGGTGCCCATCTCTGACCTGGAAGCCACTTGGCACCCTCACTTCTGCTGTGTTCTGTTGGTTACAGGCTGGTCACCGAAGCTAGTTCTGACTCGGGAGGGGACGTGGGTCCCACCTCAGATGGAGAGGGTCAGAATCTGTGGACAGGCTTGCAGCCATCCCAGATGTTAACTGCCTACCAGTCCCCTGGTAGTTTCACCAGCCTCTTCTCAATGTATTGAGTCACTGAGACCTACCACCTAGTTCTAAAATGTCATAGGATCTGTAACAACTTTATAAATATGTATTTTTTAGAAAGTAATTTTACATCTGTTTTGGTCTAAAAACATATTTTCTAGGATGTTGTAAAATCTTTTTCCTTGTAGGTGCTGAGCTGTGAGGAGAGCATCAGGGTTTGGTCTGTGCTGCCTTTGCCTGAAGGACCCGCTGGAGAAGCGGCCAGGTGGGTGATGTTCTAGGGCTGTGCAAACCTTGCAGATGTCGGTGATAGTCAGCTTCAGAAGTATTTCTTCTTCGACAAGGTGTTGAGGGTGTACTGGGAAGGAGGAGTTTGGGGCCCTGGTGGCTGGTGTAGGTGTGAGAGAGCTGGGAGCAAAGCAGTCTGGTCTCCCAGCTGGTGGGGCCTTGTGGGGACAGAGAAGGCAGCACGAGAGGAAGGTTTGTGGGGAAGGTAGTGGCATCCCCCAGAAGTAGTCGATAGTCAGAAAGACGTGTGTGAAGCTCAGGAGAGAAGGGGGACGGAGGTCTGAATTTTGGAACCATGGAACACAGCAGACTTGTTAGTTTAGCAGGAGTAGTAGGGGATTCATAGATCATCTTTGTCCACCTGGTACATTGCTTTTAGCATGCTGTATCATTTCCACCACCTTCTTGGTGATGGAGGCTTTTTTCATTTTATCTTTGGGGAAACGAAATTTCAGATTAAGGTTGTTGCCCAGTTGACCCACTAAAATAAACATTATGTTGCAGAGGCACTAATGTGGGCATTTTAATTATTGCCGTGTAACTTTACTTATTTTCTGTTTTTCAGATTGGAAAGTAATTCAGAAACAAGTTCCTGCAACTCATTAATTACAAAGATTATGTACGAGCTGAGTCAGCACCTTCCTGGGCACCATTGTGTCTTTAATGACTTGGATGATTTTCCCACTGAGAAGTAAGTTTCAGGACATCCTGAGGATTGTTAGAACATGATTAAGCATTTTAGGGTACCAAACTTAGCTATTTTCTGTGTTTTAAATTTTATAAGGTTTGCAGTAATAGTGGAATCTCACTGTTACCTTACCCAGAGGAATTATTAGATCAGTTTTGACTATCTTTGTGCAAGCTTTGGTGTGTCTGATGAAAGCTGTAAATACGTATTCTGTTCACCACAATTAAACATCATTTAACACCTGCCATGTGCTGGCCCTCGCCCGGGGAGGTCTGCAGTTCCACAGGGCAGGGTCAGGAATGAGGGGCTACCTCCTGGTGGACATGTCTTTGGAAAGTCGTGCTCTGTTCACAGGTGGCCTGAGCTGCTCGGTGCACTCTGCAGCACACCTGTCACTACTCTGTTCTGCCCCAGAAGCGTTCTCGAGGTACTTGCTGTGCTCCGAAGCATCAGCGCACAGTGCCTGCGTGTGTCTGGCCAGGTCATCACCACCTTGGAGCTGCGGCACCGGCAGTGGTTGGAGAGGAGTCTGAGGTCTCGCCAGCGACAGAACTACCTGCGCATGCTAAGAGGGTATGCAGCACGCTCTCCTGTCCTGGAAAGGGTGCTGCTGGGCAGAAAGTTATCTTTGGATGCAACTCTAATCCTTACTTTCAGAGAAATAACTTATTTTCAGAGAAAGTTGTAGTACATATTATTTTTAAATAATGTTTGTAACTTTGGCATATGGGAATATGGGTTCTACCTACCCAAATGAATGTCTGGATTTAAAATATAGAGGCAGACTAACTTGGATTTGTCAGTATTACGGTTTCCTCAACTATAGCTTATATTTTAGGGTGTGCTATAGTCCTTAAGAAATTGCTATTTTGGATGAATTTCTAGAATTTTAGGGTGGAGTGGTGTCTACATTTCTAAAGCTTTTAAAATGCATTGCTGGATTGCCTTCCAGAGAGGTGGTTCAAGGTACACTTACCAGCAGTTTATAAGATAATGCTGCTATGTTAATCCCCTCTAAAACAGCATTTTCAAACCTCACTACTGGTTTCGTGAGAAAAATAATATCTTCCTTTAATTGGAATTTCTTCGAGTCCCAGTGACATTGAACACATTTTTGTATTTAAGCCATTTGTTTTTCTCTCCTTGTTAGAGTCCTTTACTGAATATCAGATTACAAGGGAGATGCAGAGAACCGAGCACAGGTGCTGGGTGCTGACTTGGCCGTGCCGGGTGTTCTTTAAGAGCTCAGTGCTGGTGCGGAAGGCAGGGCTGCTGCGGCTCAGACTTAGAGGAAGGTGCTGCTGTTGGGTGAATGAGTGAGAGCACCTCGGACCCTTCAAGGAGAAGTCTGGGGAAGGGCAGACATGGCCAGGGCGGCGGGGCTGAGCCCAGCACACCAGCACTGCCGCAGGCTGGGGCTGGGAGGCAGGTGTCAGGGCTCACAGTGATTGGAAAAATCATTCTTTTGAGAAGTTTGTGTAAAAGGATGCTTGAAAAAAGTGTGGGTTAGGTGAAACGTCTTTTTCCTTAGGAGAGTAGAAAATGCTTACGTTTGTCAAATTTTAATCTACTTTTATCCATTTTTAGTATTAGGCTTCTGTCTCCTGTGCTTTTCCTGATTTTATTGCTCATTGCACTGGAATTGGTCAACGTTCATGTTGTTCATGGAAAACGTACTTATGAATATCAGCAGTATCTAAAGTAAGTGTGTCATACTTTTTTCTTTTTTTCGTCCTTTTTGAGACTGGCCGCACCGTGCTCAGCCAGTGAGTGCTGTGAGCGCACCAGTCATCCCTATATAGGATCCGAACCCGCAGCGGGAGCGTTGCCGCACGGGCTCGGCCCAAGTGTGTCATACTTAAATGAAACCATGTTTTGGTAATTTTAAATAATTTTCACTCCTACTGGTTATTTTCACTGGTGACTTTTTATTAACCCTCTTAGATTCTGAGGGGCCCTAATGTTTTACTCCATGGATTTTAGTGCTCATAAGTTTGTAAGCATTTAAGACTGACACCTGTGTAGCCACATTTCAGAAAATTAAGTATGGTTTACATGTTACAGAATTCTTCAGTTTGTGCGGTAACAACATAACATCTAGCTACAAATGGGATTAAGACCCTGCAGGAGAAGAATTGGGAGAGGATGGAGGTGTTGTCCGGGCCACTGGCAAACTCTTCCACATCCAAATGGCTCCAAACCAAATTTGTATATATAACTAATAGTTTCACATTTGTGAAGTCTCCTTTTCAGGGCCCTCCAGGTCTGGGGATCTGAAAGTGGAGTCACACAAGTGGGGTCACACTTCACACCCAGTGATTCTAAGCCTCAGGAGAGCCCTGGGACGAGGGCCCTGAGCCACAGCTGGGCTTGCCCACAGCACCCGTGACATGAGCCCCCTCCGGCTGGCTGCTCACGGAGTTCTGGATGCTCAGGTGGCTTTGAGACAATGCCATGCAGGTGGAGGCACCTCAGTACTTACTTGAAATGAGCGTGAGAGCATGACTATGGTATTTCATGGAGAGAGCAAGGGCAGCCAATGTGCCACATGCTGATGCTGGTGGCCCTTGGTCAAGGCTCCCAGCCTGGGCCTGTGGACACTTTGGCTGGATCATTCTATGGTGGGGGCTGCCCTGTCACTGTGGGATGTTAGCCGAATCTGTGGCCTTGCCCACTTGATGCCACCCGAGGTGCGACAATCAGAAATGGATTAGACATGCCAAATATCCCCCAGGGTACAAAAATCTCCTCTGCTGATGGTCTTTCCTCTAGGTGAAGGATCTGTGGACTTTCATTGTCTTATCTTTTAACTTCTCTTTAAGTTTGAAAATCTTCAAGATAAAAATTTGGGGAAGATTTTAGACTACTTGGGAAACTTTGAGGAGAACTTAGAAAAAGTAAAAAATGACATTTATTCTCATAAATCAGTGATAACCTGCTGTTAACGTTTTGATGAATATCTTTAAGGAAAAGCTTTTCAACAGTATTAGCTGTCTCACAGGGGGCTGTGTGTCCTGTGAAGTGGGCCTCCACTATGGAGCACAGAAGCCAGACATGTCAGGTGGGCAGTAGGCATGGCACCCACAGCTCCCGCACAGCCCAGAGTCCTGCTCGTTTGACATCCAGTACATCATGTTTCTTCTACGTTGGTTTAATCAGAAGGCCCCTGATATTCTTCCTAAAATTATGTTTCATCACTTAAAAACATCATATCAGGATTTGAGAGAGTATGTGTAGAAAGGCACTTGAGTCTGTAAATCTTTTGGGAGCCCATCAGGTGTCCAGCAGCATTCACATTTCAGCATTTTTCTCTTTCCTGTAATTTGTATTCTTATTTTCATTCTGTATGTTTTTTTCCCTTGAATCTTCGGACAAAAATTAAGTGGTCTTTACTTTAGGAATACGATCATGCGCCCCATAGTGATGTTTTGGTCAATGATGGACCTTGTATATGATGGTCCCATGAAATTTTAATGGAGTCCTATCACCCAGTGACATTGTTGCTGTGAGTTACTGTGAGCTTGCAGGGAGAGGCAGGAAACACCGAGGCTTAAAACAGGAAACAGAGTTTATTGAAATGCCAGCATTTGGCTCAAAGGACTTGTCCAAAGTTTTGAGCACCCCAATCAGTGGGGCAGTTATTTTCATATCAGGATTTCTGGGTTTCTGTAACCGAGCAAGAGCAGCGACCTTATGATCTTATGTGGTCATGAATCGGTCTCAGGGTGGAAAGTACAGCGGGTGAGAAGCAGGCTGAAAAATTCTGTTTCAGCAGTCTTTGTAACCACAGGGTGAGACCAAGGGGGCCTGCTGCTGCAACAGGGTGTTAGCAAGTCTGTGATAACCATGGGGTGAGAGAAGGTGGGGCTGCATGACATCCAGGCTGGGGTTCTGGCTACAGCATAGCGTGGCACAGCGTGGATGCTTGACGGCTGCAGCCAGGCTGAGTAAGTACAGCTGCTTAAGTACAAGTGCCTCAACATCGCAACCGTCATAAACAGCACGTTGCTCACGTGTTTGTGGTGACACTGGTGTAAACAAACCTATTACAAAATATGTTGAGGAGGAATGCCCTGCTACTCCAGGTGGTAACCGTCCCCAGAATAGCTCAGACCTTTACAGTAGAAAGCTGAGCATTTGACACATTAGGTGTGACCCCAAGTGAAAGGGTTGCTTTCTCCTTTAAAATTCTTGCATTTTGAAATTATTCCCACTCAGCCCCACAGCAAAACAATAGTTAACAGCTAACACTCACTAAGTGTTTGCCGAGTGCCAGGCACAATCCCACTGTAATTTGATTTTCATAACTTTGTGGGGTGGTATTATTCTAATCCCCATGTAACAGAGGAGGAGGTGAGGCACACAGAGATTTAGTAACACAATGAAGAGGCCCATGCTAACGCAGCTAGCGGCCAGCGTGGACACCTGGAGAATTCATTGCTGTTCCCTTTCATAACACACTTTTGCACAGCGATAAAATCTTCTAACGCCACATTTCTCAGAACGGATGCCTGTCGTTAAGCCATGTATCACTGTAATTCCAAGAATCGAGAGAAGACATTTAAATCACTATTGCATTTTGTAATGGAATACATGAAGAGATAAATTTTTTTTTCTTTTAAACAGGTTCTTAAAGTCAATCTTGCAGTACACCGAGAACCTGGTGGTTTACACCAGCCAAGAAAAGAACAGATGGAATGAAGCTATCAATCTTACACGTTCTGCTTTGTTGAAAATTTGGACTTTTAGTGAGAAGAAGCAAATGTTAATACATTTAGCCAAGAAATCCACAAGTAAAGTAGCCTTATGAAAACATAAGTCAGGGGTGCTTTGGCTATAATAGAAAATCCAACTTAAATAAATTATAACAGTATGTAAATTGAAACTGCAGTGGTGGGGTGGGTTTCAGGCTCTGTTTGATCAGGGTTCAAGTTCTGTTCCTCTGTGGTGTTCTGATGTGCTCTTCCTGAGGTGTCTGGGTGACCGTCAGGCTGGTGTCTCTGGGTAACCAAAGGGCAGCAGCTGTTTTTGTTTCCATCTCCCTGTAACATGCTGTCCAGAAGAAGGGAGAGCTGTCTCCCCCCACCCGTCCCCCGGGAATGCTCCCCCAGGAATACGTGCCTTCACCCTTATTGGCTACACCCCTACCCTGGGGCAGGGAGGAGGGGCTTGGGCCGGTCATGGCTCATACCTGGAGCTGAGCGTAGGTTGATACAATGCAGATCCCATGGGTGAGCCCTCAGGAAGGACAGCTCCTGAAAGGTGAGATGGGTGGGCCCTGGGTACTGGGCAGCAGGTCTTCCAGTCAGCGTTTGGAAAGAAAAGCCAGAAGCCCTTTTGTGTTTCTAGATGAGGACAGCCTAGTACAGAAACTGGGAGAGTTGGAGGAGAGGAGCTCAGTGAAGCTCCACTTGTAGGCTCAGCTTGAAGAACCAAAGCCATCAGCTCTCAGGCCACTGCCGTGCTCCAGGGCATCTGCAAAGCGCCCACTGTCTGTCTCAGTTGGCTGCAGCAAAGCTGGGCATTGTCCTGAGCCCCACATCTGTGCATGCGTTTGGCCACACCCAGACTCAGTGACATGGCTTCTTCTCCACCTTTTACACCTCCCAGCAGGGTGTGGCCTGCAACCAAGGAAGGACATTCAGCAGCGTGCATTCCAGCTAGGGGAGACCTTCTGCGGAGGGCACGTTTGGCAGCAGACAGTCCTTTTTCAGCTCAAACCCTTCTCCCCTTTCAAACTAAACTTCTGTGTAAGAGTGAAAACATTGTGCTTCTGGCTAATGTGATTCAACTTTCTTCTGTACAACTGAAGATTGTTCATCGTCTTCCCAGAAGTGGAGACACAGAATCCCAGAAACACGTGTCAGTGTTTCCACCTGGGGGTGTTCTTTTATAGCACAGCCACGCTTCCCTCTGACACACTCTCACCAAAATAATGAGTTACGGGATTAACCCAGATCAACTCTCCTGATACAGTGCTGGGAGGGGAAAGGGAGTCACAAGAACTGACACAGATACAAGTAAATACCAGAGCAATGAAAGCACAGAGCTGTGTTCCTTGTGGTTGCACCTGGTGATCTGGCAGAAGTTAGTGTCTAAAAATTCCTTTTTCTGTGTGTGACCATTCCACATTCCTTTGTCCCCAGGCACTCATCTCTGCTGGTTGTGGCTCTTCACCTGGTGGGTTGACCCTCATTCCCAAAAGGTCTTTCTGGTTTTGGGTAACTGTAGGTTTCCATTGACGCATCACTGGACTTGGGAATAGTAAGAGTTTCCCCAGAAAACCCCCTAAATTCCAGACATACTCCTCCCTGTCCCCCTCCCGTGGTAGCAGCCCTGTTTACCCAAGATAGTCGGAAACAATCACCCAGGCCCGTGCAGGAAATCCTTCTTCGACCTTGCTCATTGGCATAAGGTGTCCAAGGCATCCAGGAGGCAGTCAGCCTGTGGGACAGTGGGACATTCCTTTTTTAGAAATGAATTAAACCACCAGAGTCCAGAGAATACAAAATGTTGCTAGTGGCTCATTAGGAGTTGTATTATTCCTCTTCTGTTGCTTATAACAAAGTTCTTGGAACTGGGTAATTTTTAAGAAAGCAAAATTTATTGCTTACAATTTTGGAGGCTGGGAAGTTCGAAGTCTGAGGAGCCCATCTGGTGAGGGTCTTGGTGGTGGCAACTGACCCAGGGGTCTCACATTGCAAGATGGTGGAAGCAGAGAGAAAGACTCTCCTTTTAAAGCCCCCAGAACCATGCCCTTGACCCCCATTATTAATTTAATCCATTCACTACTACACAGTCCTACAATCCGATCGCCTCTTCAAGGCTCCACCTTTCAATTACCATAATAGGATTTCCCACCCTCTTAACAGTCACAATGGGGACCAAGTTTCTAGTATATAAAACTTGGGGGACACAATTCAAGCTTCAATGAGTTCGGGAGGACGTTCAGTTCACTACAGGGCTGTAAAGAGGAGCAACTCCCACATCACATGCTTCCTTGGCCCATGTGTTCTGGCTATGGGAAAGACAGATGGTTCAGAGTACAAGGCTCACCTGCTGGCAGCAGAGCAGCCACAGGGAGGCCTCATCACCACCAGAAGGATCTTCTCCAGGAGGCTCTGCCGTGTTCTCCCGCTGGCTGCTCAGGGAGCATGTGCTGACACCAAGTAATTGTGGCCTCATCCGGGAGCGTGTAGTGAGACCGGGCAGTCGTGGCCGCTTTCAGGGAGCGTGTGCTGAGACCAGGCAGTCGTGGCCTCTTTCAGGGAGCGTGTGCTGAGACCAGGCAGTCGTGGCCTCTTTCAGGGAGCGTGTGCTGAGACCAGGCAGTCGTGGCCTCTTTCAGGGAGCGTGTGCTGAGACCAGGCAGTCGTGGC